CTGCTGAAGGTGCGTCCCCATCGCCCGGGACATTAGCTTAAGAAAAACATTTGAACTGTGGCTCAGGAGAGGGATTCGAATAATATATGAAAAGAGTGGGTTTAACCAGACAATTTTCTCTCCTCTCCCCTACCCTTCTTTCTTTCGATGAAGCAAAAAAGGCTTCCAGGAGAGCAAACGCGCTGTTACTGCGCGGCTCTCGGTGGGCAGACTTGCTAAGGTTTCAGGGAGAGGTTTGGTTTGTTTAGTTACCTGAAACGTTCCAGACCATCTTCCCGAGCTGCTGGTGGAAAAGCGTGATGCCATGCCGGGAACAAAAGAGACTGATCAAATCAGTGCTTTTCGGATAAAGTGGGAGGAAAGACTTGTGAGGAGTGTTCAATTAGCATTTCTTACTGCTAGGAGCCTTGTGTTTGCAGGCAACCAAGCGGATGTGAAGTGTTCCTTATGCAAATACTACTCTCCTGCTTTTCCTGCTCTCCTCTACTCTTCGAGCTGAAGGAGAAGAGATTCTTCAAGTTTGGCTGCTTCAAGGAAGATTGATTAAAATCAGCTGCAGTTTGACTTAATTGGATCCATATGCTTGGAGAGGGAGCAGGACTAGTTAGAAGTCCTCGTAATTAGTTCACAGCTGGTTGGTGAGAAAAATGGAACTCCAGTTAGAGTTCAGATAAGTGGATCCATACAGATAAAAGGCAGGGAGATGTTTTTGACACTGATGTGTGTTTGGGCTTGAAAAATCACGTCTAGTCCCATAGCCAAGCTAGCAGCCCAGTCCCTTTGAGCATGTGCATTTGTGAGGCTAAATGGAAGGAGTCTTTATTTTCTTGCTCGTTTCTGAGTAAAAGGAATCGACTGTGGATGCTGGCAGTCAAGGAAGGCTGAACGGGGTCACAGAAAGCTGGGAGAAGATCTCAGGGACTAGGTGAGACCCTACAAGGGGAGTTTGGCTGCGTGAAAGGTTTGTGGCTTGGCACAAACTCTGAACTTACCAACTTTCAGTGTGATGCCCTTGGTCACAGTAATAACTAGTTGTGTTCAACCTTCCTGCTGGTCAGTAATTTAACAGCAATACTCATAAAAAAGCAATATTATTCTTACATACTGAAATAATTTATTTTCGCCCATTATCTTAAAGAGCTTGGAAAGAGTTGACTACCTACCTGGTATGGGCACAGGCATCAGAAGACTTCCCCCAGCCAGAAATTGGTATTTATGCTAAATTTTGCTGTTGGAATAGAAGGGACTGAATTCCCTATTACAGTGTCAACGAAGGAGCTGCCTGAGAAAAGCATTCTAAACATACTAACGAGGTCATGCTGACATGACTTTATTAATGTGTTTTGAGGTGTTCGTTAATGCATGTGCAGTAGTTCCTTTCTGAATGTCTAACTTTGCTATCATTATCAACTATTTTATGATTTAAGATATTAATCTGGTTAAATTACGTCTTGGTTTCTTCCCAGCTTTAAATTGATTATTTTTGCACAAATTAAAGCGTAAACCACTTGTCCACTTCG